AAAAGCAGCCATTTTCATGACTTTTATAGCTGTAACAGGCCCCCTCTGCCCATCTGTTCTTGTAATAACCACTGTGACTACTGTAATAATTCATACTTCTGCCTCATGAATAGGCTGAAGAAAGAGCACCTAAATGATGACCACATTAGCCCATGCATTCTGGCTCTAACCTGGAGTAATACAGCCTGGAGGAAGAGAGTAGCTAAGAAGAATAAAGGAAATCACTGACTAAGAAAGGTATGAAAAAAGAGGTGCTTCTCTGTACTTGGTGAATGTTTTGCATGGTATTAATTCTGATTTCATGCAAATCATGCACTGCATGCAGAAAGCAATCTAATGGTGTCCTTTGTCAGCCTATTTTTCTACCATTTACTCTTATGCATATTCTTATACATTGGCAGGTTTTTGCAGAGGAGGCAGGAAATGCAGACAGCATGGATTTTTGGGACTGATACAGAGATCTCTGCAGTAAGTTCACCGAATTCCTTTTGTTACTATGAAATTAGGCTTCAGTCTGAACTTGAATGCAAAGATACCTGAAATCCCTTCCAGCCTTATATTTCCATGAATAAGCTCAAAAAAGTTCCCCAGTTTTCATAGTAACGGTAAAAGCACATAATCCTTTCTGATAGAAATACAATGATCCTATCTAGAAATGGTGGCCAATTCTAGCATTTTGTGTTGGAGAAAGGATATTTGGAAAAGGAATTCTGACACAGGTATTTCTCCCCACTGTTCTTATCAGGAAAAAAAAAAAAAAAAAGAGACTGAAATTTCTCTCTTAGAATTAAGTAAAAACATTTCAGTAAAGAAACTAAAAGGAAAGGCAATTGCTAGAACAGATACACTCACAGCTAGCCCAGTGATTCTTAGTTTTCCCTCATATTCTCATGATTTTTAAAAAGCTAAATAAAAATTGTGATGCTATCTGACATGCCAACTGAAAATTAACATTATTCAGAGATGTTCTCAGCTCATTTGAAGGGTAAGAATAGGTTGACTGAAACAATGTGTTGGTTTGAAGGTAACTGAACAGGGATCTTAGTCTTTTCAAAAATGGTATTCATCAAATAGAAGAGACACGTCTGCATTCTATTAGAAGATACCAACAAAGCAGCAGCACTGACCTTGTACTATATAGGGCGTGTTCTCCTCTCTGACCAGGGAACACGTGGGTCGAGGGGCGGGGGCTGGTGGCCTGTTCATGATGAAGGACCTGCAACGTTTCCTTTTCTCCTTCTCCTCCTCCTCCCCCAGTATGAAATCATACACAGATTCCTCCAGTTGCACAGCAGTGTACAGGTCTTCCTCCTCGCTGTCTTCCTCGCATGGGTCTTGGTCTTCCCTGTAGCATGCTGTGTTGAGTTCATCCCCATGTTCTCTCTTATTCCTGTCCATCACAAAATTCCCCTCTGAAAAAGGAAGAAATTGTGTTGCATATAAAGGGTAAAGAGAGGAGATTAGGACTTATCTTAAAGCTTTAAGTTTCCTAAAGTAACTCAGAGACCTAATTTCACTTCTAAACTGAAGTGCTCTGATTTTCAGAGGCTTCTGATCACCTAACTCGGTAGAGAGGATGTCCCAAAGGAATAATTACAATTTCAGGGACTCCTCATGATTTCACATCAGATTATCAAACATAGATGCTTAGCTATTAGCCACAAAATAAACGGACCTATTTAAAGAAATACAGAGAGCAACAGTTGTTCCCACAAGAGTTACACAAACATGATGTTTTGTAGTGAAGCCAAACAAATGTTACCTGCGGCCTTCGGTATTTTGGAAAACATTTTGTTTCTTACCTGTTGGAACAATGACTTAAGTGAAACTTATTTTAGAAAATGATGGATTTTGTCTTTCCTACATCTTCAATATCCCACTTGGTTTTGAGGGCTTTACTAAGATGTGCTGTAGGCCAAGGTCAAAAAAGAAAAAAAATCCCCTTACAGCGTAGGTAAAATTTATGACCTCTTACAATCTGTGCTAAGATGATCCAAACACCCCCATTCCAATACCTGCAATGCTTCTCTGTACTCCTCGTATTTCATACATTTCACAGTACAACTACTCAGAACTTGCTTTCCTTTAGCTTGTGTATTTTACAGCATTAAAAGGCTATCGATGAGTTTCCCAATACCTGGGTTTGCCTTGATTTGTCTTTAAAACCCCCACAAACTTCTAAGAGTTTAGAGATATTACTGAGGCTGATGTTCCCGTTAATGTTTATAACTTCCTTGTGATGATTACCCATCTTTCCTGCAAAAAGAGTAGACCTGCCTGGAATTCTTTACTGAGTAATTTTTCCCTTGTATTGTAATTTACAGCCTGTACATATATGTATCTGCTAAACTAGGCTGTGGTCACTACTGGTGCTTTTAATCCTTTGGCTGCTGTTTAAAGAATGATCTATTTATGGGTCCAGAGGAGCTAAACAACCTTTTAAAGTGGAATACATTTGTAAATGGGATGCATCATTTACAAATGAGATGTATTATTAATATGTAATATCAACATGTATTCTAAGATACAAAAATGTTTTAAACAAGTGGGATTAATACGCCTGCCATATTTAATATGAATAATACTTTGTTGCCATGTCACTATACAAGTTCTGCTTCTTTCTCCCTAGGACATTTTTTTTTTTTTTTTAAACTCCCACAGGGGGCACTCTCAGGCCACTGCCAAAACACAGACTTGAACAAAAGGGGACTTGCCTTTGAGGTACTTCACAGCAACTCCAAAAACAAGTGGCTGAGCAATGACTCATTAGAACTCCTCTTTGAAAGCAAGCATCATCCTCATTTAGAGGAATTCTAATAACCCTAGCATGTTTTATGGCTAAACACAGGAAAATTCAGAGCACGTTTTAAATGAACTCTTCACACGGGAACATTTTCAGATGAACTCTGCTTTACCAGCACAGGATTCAGCACAGGACACTACATAGCCAGGGAATTTACTTTGCTGGTACCCACATACAGACAGCTGGCGTTTGGCAGAGATGGTCATGTTACTACTTGATGGTATAGTCATGTTAGACCTATTCCAAGAGAGGTATTTGTATCAAACCTACACCAACAAATCCTGCTTGCCAAAACTGACTCCTCATTTGTACACACATATAGCTCCAGCTGAGTATTTTGTGGGAAGCAAAACACGTTTTCAGCATTAATTTTATTCTGCCCCTCTTTCTCTGAGAATTCACTTATGGATTCCTGCATGTAGCCAGCTTTTTCTTGGACAGCAGAACACAGGAAAAACCCTACCTATAGCAGGCTATAAGACTAGAGAGTTATTTCTGTCAAATTATGTGAACTTCAGAGTGCTTGGTGATGGTAATTTAAGACTCTAATTGGTTACACCACATTTGAAAACAGAGTTAACAGTAATAAACAGTGGAGGAACTGAGAAGCAGTTTGTGTGCACACTTACCAGCAGTGTCCACAATAAATAAGACGGGGGTTTTTTTTCACCTATGCAACTTTTTAAGACTGGTATTTCAGCCTGAATTATTTTGCATACTTATTTTCTCAGTGAGAAAAATTCATGATCATTCCTTCTGAAACAGATGCAAATAGTATTTTGGGCTTCTCATCACTTTAATCAAACCCAACACAAAATTTTAGATTTTTACTCTGGGGAATAAGTATTAAAAAAAAAGATAAAAAAGGCAAAGCATTTAATTAACAGTCAGAATTTCTCCCTTTCTTTTCCATCTGCAACACAATATAGCTTTTTACTTCTAACTAACTACAACATTGGCTAAAATGTAAGAAAATACTACATTACTTCTCTCTGCACGGTCACTTTCTATTAATTCTACCTGTGAAATTCCAAGCTATATTAAATCAGGATAGTATTTAAAGTATTAAATGGTAAATACTTAAGCCAACTTGACAAAAATACAAGCTCAATCTTCTGTTTCAAGCCTCTCTTGTAAATCCAGTGCACTGTGCATTATTTGGCAGCTCTCTGAGACAGGCAGAGTTAGGAAAACCTGAACCCAGCACCCCCACCAATGTATTACCTGACATACCTGCTAATGAATATTTTGATGCAGCAAAGTGCATATGCACATGCCTGCTTTGCAGCATTAGAGCCACACTGCCTGACTACTCTGTTAGAATTGATCATGTGTAATCTCTGCAGCAGCACTTAGCCTGCACTTGCACATGTTTGTAGCTGGGCTTGTTTTCCTCCCAAGATTGTACCTTGTGATGAATTGTGCAGATCATCCTGTCTTAGGATGCCAGGCAGATTTCGAGGGGGAGGAGGGGGTGGCCCCTTACAGAGAAAGCAATCTCTTCTGTTCTCTTTGAGATCATCCCGTATGTTGGCATACAAATCATCAGGACTGTTGTGAAAGCTATATGAGTCTTCCTCTTCTTGATCTTCATGTTCTGTCTCCTCTCTGCTGTCTCTTACATCATCTTTCTTTTCCTCATCCACTTCAGCTTTGTGTTGGCATCTCGATCCAATTTCATATTGATCTCCGGGGTTCTGCTTGGTTTTTAATACTAAAGAATGCATTATTTCATTTAAAATTTGCCATCTGGAAACATTTCCCATTTCAAGGATTCCCACAGAAACAACACAATGGCTAATAAAACTTTTATGAACTGATACAGTAGAAAAGCTGTCAAATACATACCATCAGTGAACAGCTTTTTAAATATTTACCAAATGAGCAGTGGAAGTTTTCATTGTACCTTGCTACTCTGATACATGCCATCTTCGTGTTTGCAATGTTAAACTCTTCTAGAGCTGCTGTCAGAATGAAATCACACACACTTTCCTTGCCTGCATAATTTGTATTACTTGATTTTCAATGTGGTACAGTGCAACACTTAACAAAATAAAGCCACAGTTCACAGATCTGTGGTACTTGTTTTTAGGTAATGGGGTTAGAGTGCTTTCTCCTTAAAATGAAATAAACATTGCCCATGGGAGACATAAATGTACACCTGTGGAAAGAGAGCTCTTCTGCCCAGGTGCCCAAGAAGGCCAGTGGCATCCTGGCCTGTATCAGGAATAGTGTGGCCAGCAGGACATGGGAAATAATTCTTCCCTGTTCATCACTGGTGAGGCTGTACCTCGAGTACTGTGCCCAGTTCTAGACCCCTCAGTTTAGGAAGAATGTTGTAGTCCTGGAGCAGGTCCAAAGAAGGGCAACGAGGCTGGTGAAGGGACTGGAGCATGAGTCCTGTGAAGAGAGGCTGAGGGACCTGGGGTTGTTTGGCCTGGAGAAGAGGAGGCTCAGGAGAGACCTCATCACTCTCTACAACTACCTGAAAGGAGGTTGTAGAAAGGTAGGGATCAGCCTCTTCTTACAGGCAACCAGCAATAGGTCAAGAGGACACAGTCTCAAGATGCACCAAGAAGGTTTAGGTTGGGCATTAAGAAGTTCTGCACAGAGTGACTGGCATTGGAATGGGCTGCCCAGGGAGGTGGTGGAGTCACCATCTCTAGAGTGTTCAAGAAAAGACTGGATATGGCACTTAGTGTCATGATCTAGTTGACAAGGTGGTGTTGGATCATAGGTTGGACTCGATGATCTCAGAGGTCTTTTACAACCTATCTGATTCCACAGTTCTGTGACTGCCTTTAGTAGCCCATGGACCACAGAACAAGAACACAGTGGAGGGATGTGAAAGTGTACATTTTAACTGTTATGTACATCATTAAAATTTTAGTCGTCAAGATCAGTAATATAACAGATTAACTACACAAGTCCATCAGCAGACTTTACTGAACCCTTGAGGTAGCTTGCCATTCTGCGATATTCTTTGTGCCTTTCACCATTGATTCAAATGTGAGGTCAGGGCAGTTAGCTAGCTAACATGGCCAGCTGTTACAATTTGTGTTCTTCTTCCGTGTGTACACCCTGCAGTGTTCACATATACAGTGTGACAGAGACACTGAAAATTTACCAGAGCTAACTTGCTTTTTCCAAGTGTCTATCATCTACCTATATGCACTAAAGCAACCAGCTTAAATTTAGCAAATCCTTTTCATATGTATGAGACAGTTAAAAAGATAAAATTGTCAACAAGATAGAAAGAGAATAAAATCTAGCTTTATAGATCCATGATACTCTTAAGATATTTGCAAAATATAAGCCATCAATAAATGCAAATAAGCAACTTTGTTTGCAGTTTTCAAGGGGAATGCATATGACCACACAGATCATCAACAAGCTTGTCATCAATTTATCAAGCTGCAAAATGTCAACTACCTGTGCCTCCGTACAGGACTTGACTGCACCTGTAGGCAGTGCCTCCCCTTATCTGAAGGCTCTTCTCTGAGAACTTGGAGAATTCAGCTCTTTTCTAGGTTCAGAGTAGGGATGATAAATTTCCAGGATTTACAAGGAGGTGTGGTTGCACTGAGGTCTCTCTTGCTGAGTGATAACTTTGTTATCACAGCTGAGACCCTCAACTGCCTTCCTCTTCTCCTAGGGCATCTGCCTTCCCTGGAAGGTGCAGTAGCATGTGCAAGTTGAAAGTGTTAGAATAATTTGCCCTCTCTGTCCATAACATCAAACACTTAATACAGCACATACCAATACTAATAAAACTATCTAAAAACATGACTTACCCATGGCTGGTTGAGTTTCCAAGCCTAACATGAGCTCATAAGTGTTATTGTCTTCTACTTCCTCCCTGCAATTGGTGAAATTATTTGCTGCGTTAACCTACAAAGAAAAATAAAGAAGAATATTTGCTTTAGTGATATCATCTCCTACTTTCACACTTTGCTACTGTTACAGTATTCAACATTCTACTAGGAGGAAAGTGGAGACAGAAACATCAGCACTTGCAACTATGTAATGATACGCATATTTTGGCAAAAGGAACACATGTATCTGAATACATGTAAAGGACACAAGGTTCTGCCAAGAAGTGACACCAAGTTTGCACAGCAAGAATTGAAGCTAATTCATCTTTACCTAGAAGTGCACTGGGCTGTCCCGAGTCTGCTCCCAGCTGTGAAGCACTCATAGATAATGAGAAAGATCAGTAACAGAAAAACATAAAGATCGTAGGACATGACTGAATAGCTCAAGGGTGTACACAGTGCAAGAAATCTCTAGAGAGCTCATTACAAACAGTTCCTGTATCCCAGTGGTTGGTACCAAAAGCCGTGTCTGCACTGAAAAACCAGAGATGGGACTGCAAAGCATGTCAGCAGTTCTACCTCAGCAACCAAATGTGGCTAAGTGGTTTTTTGTTCCTCTAGAAAGTTGTTACGTTTATACAGCGCTATTCAAAATTAGCCTCAGGAGGGTCAGAACAATCAGTTTTCTAAAACATAATCAATGTATTTCTTCAAGCAGAAGAGATACAAACCTCTGCTCACACACAGCAGTTAAAAGCAAACCTGTATTACACCTATAGACAGTTTTGTTGTCTTAAAATATAGAACATACATTTGTTAATTGTTGATTTTCAGAAACAACTGGAATTTCAAAAAGTGATCTTTTTTTGAAGAAACTCAACAGGACCTTGATTCCTATGTAGATGGGATATGAAACTATCCCTCACAGACACAATGGAGCCCTCAATAATTATTCAGGAATTTTGCAGCACAAAACTCTGGGGGTTTGAATACACCAACCCCAAAGCAGGCAGGGAAACAGCATGGTCCATATATCATCCAGACTGCACAATTAATTACAAGCAGAATAGTGGACTGTGGACTTCACAGTCAAGAGGAAGAACTGGTATGTAGTTACACCATTCTGCATAGCACAGGAACTGATTCTCAGGAGCTCATGCCAGAGTCTCAAGAAGTTTGTTCCTAGTATCCTCCTGGCACCCACAACCACTTTTCTCAGGGCCAGAGCTCTTGCTGCATGAAAGAGGAAAAAATTTTGAGAAACAGAGGTTTTTTTCTGAGGAACTGAGAATGCCTTCTTTCCAGCAGCTCTTGCACACAGCCACTTCATGAATATCAGTTTGGAGACAGTGGAGCCATCAGACGGCACAGCAGATGCCTCCCTGGCCTGCTTTGTTGCTCTAAGGATATGCCTGGATCGCCACACAGCTATGCTTGTCTCCAACAATAAACTATTAATCTCTGCCTTCTGTGCCCATGCAATGTGTGCATCAGTGAGAGAATCCTGTTTTTCTTGAACTTCCCCATCATTTTTGTGCTTCCTCTATATTTTGCAGAAACAGGATGCTTCTTAAAAGCCCCAAAGTTAGAGCTTTGCAGAATACTTATTTTCAAAAGATTTAGGCCTGCATGTGCTA